TCGACGTTACAAAGCACCGCCGGCGGAGTTGGCTTGTTCCATGGCATCGACGATCGATCGAACGAGGAATTCGCCGCAGTAAATCGTCACCGCGATCGGCAGGATGATCGTGAAGAAGAGGGTGAGAAACGAGATGAGCACCTTCATCCAGATCGAGTACTTCGGGCTCAACCACAACAGCGGCAAGCCAAGCGGTCCGATCGAAAGAATGACCGTCCAGATAATGACGTGGCTGCGAACGGCAGTACGAATTGCCGGTGGAAGGCCTGATTCGATGACCTGGTTGGCGGGAAACTGGGTTTCGGTTTGAACAGCCGGAAGCTGCGGTGCGTCGAGGACTTCCGTAGGTTCGGTCATGGAACTGCCGTTATCAACAGGCGTTTAAGTGCGTGCGCAAGGACTCCCAAAAGTGTAGGTCATCAGACAGGAAACGCAAATTGCGCGTTGCCGGGGCTTAACCAGGATTTCACGCGACACATTGGTTAATGGGTGGCCCAGTTTGCTTGCAAACTGGGGAGCGGAGCGAACCGAGGTCTTCGGGGCAAGTTGACCGCTCGCCAGGACCTCTATTCGGCTTCGCCTCCCCAGGTTGCAAGCAACCGTGGGCTACCCGGTGAGGATACCGATGTGAACAGCGGTAACTCCCTGGTTCGTTTTTAGGAACAAAGTGCCGCGTCGCTTACGACTTCACTTCGACGGGGACCTGATCGATCTTGGCGGCGAGGATGAAATCGTTTTCGCTCAGGCCACCGATGGCGTGCGTCCACAGTTCAATGGAAACGTTGCGATAGCCTTCGATGTGAAGATCGGGGTGGTGACCATCTTCTTCGGCGATCTCAGCGACTTTGTTGAAGAACGTCAGCCCGGCCATGAAGTGCTTGACCGTCCAGTCTTTGCGGATCCGTTTTCCATCGTGGGTGAGATACCAACCGTCGAGCTTGGCCAACTGATTGGTCGCTTCGTCGAGGGTGCAAGGGGCGACGCCTCCTTCGCAAGGCTTGCACTTCTTTTGCGTCAGTTGATCGGTCGTTTGAATATCCATGGCGGTTTCGATCCCTTCATAAAAAAAGCCCCGGCCTAAGAGCAGAGTCTCTAAGAGGCCAGGGCATGTTTCATTGCGTCGTAAGCCTCTGCCGTCATTCTTGCGAATCGATCGAGGCGAAGCAAACCGAAGTTTCCATGGTTAAGAGACAGGAGCCATATCAGGAGCCGGCTCGGTCATTTCCGGCTTGTCCGATTCGTCCTTCTTTTCTTGGTCGGCAGGCTTGTCCGACTTGGACTCTTTCAGCTTCTCGGCAACTTCGGAGGCAGGACCGGCGATCGTATCGGTTTGGCCACCTTCCTTGGTGTCCTGGATTTCACGCCAGGCTTCGTTGCCTTCGTAGGCTTTCAATTCGTTCTTTAAGTGCTCGCGAATTTCAGCGGCTGCTTCGTCTCCGCCAGCCACTTCGACAGCCTTCTTGGACCACTTTCGAGCTTCGTCGAACTCACCCTTTTCGGCATGTGCGGCCGCCAATGTCGACAAGATATGTGCTTGCGAGTAATCGGTCGCTTCGCACGCTTCCACGGCATACTTGAGTGCCTTCTCGCCATCGCGAACGTTGTCGTT